CAAAATGTTGTCTATACCTAGCGGTAAAATTTGTGATTTACTGATCTAAAACTTCACTCGTGCCATAGTGTTAGTAGATTTAATTTGCGTATTTTTAGTCAAATTGTCGTGGTGCTTGGTGACTGGGTTTTTCCCAATTATACGTCCTTTTTGTGCCTTTAAGCTTAATTCATTCTGTCGCGGAGAACCTAACCGAGTTACCGGGGCTCCGGCTCGAAGTGCAGGAGAAGGAACGGGGTAGTTTTTAGTCAGTATGAGTCTGACACTCCCTTCCGCCTCACCCAGGCGGGAGAAGAACTTCGATGATTTTCTCCCCTTAAAAAAAGCTTTAATTCATTCTGTCTTTTGCTGTTATTCACCGAGGAAAGTGGAGACTATCGTTTGTTTCTCCTCTTATAATATCTTCCAATTCATTTCTTTGCGGGAACCAAGACAGTTATTCATGTCTCTGGGACGCACCGGACTACAGTGTTCCGGTGATTTTTTGGTTGGATCTACTGTAGATCCTGGGTTACAGGAGTTGCAGCGGTTTTGGGAGGCTGTGGTGGGTTCGTTAAAAAAATACATAACCTCACGCATTTCTGCCATAAAAGTAGGCTTTAAACCGTTCTAAATCGTTATTTTATTGTTGTAAACGTCAGAGTTGGTGACTTTTTGTTCTATAATTTTAATGTATGCAAGACAAAACCCCCAATCCCCGAATCTACCATAATCCTCAAATTCCTAATCCTCAAAAGGCCGGTAACGCACTTGTAACACCTCTGGTGTTTCGGGAGTCCATGGGGACACCGATTGCTTACCATCAGGTTTTCCCTTAGCTTGTTTACCTAATTTAATAAAAAAATCTAATAACATATATGTTTTAAGATATTTATTTCATGTTTTTTACAGTAAATGTATTCTATTCATTTACATAACATAACATCACGCCTTTTATCCCCGAAGGGGTAGGCAGAGGTGTACATTATGCCACAGTACAATGTAACACCCACTTTTTCACTATTTATGTTATGAGTCCCATGTAATAGGGGGTGAGCCTATTGCCATATACCGGGCACAATTCCAGACTCCATGCTACAACTGTGAATTTTATGAAAAACTCAGTAATACTTTGCCCGACCCGGGTATCAAACCCGAGACCCCTTGCCCAGTCGCACCTGCAACCACTCGGCCAATGAGGCAGTCATACATTTACACAATTGCGTAAATTATGTTCGACAAACAAAAATGTCACCCCGAGTTCGGGGATAATCATCGGTAACATATTACGAGTATCATATACGGCAAAATTATGTCGACCCACTTCCATAGCGTATAGAGGTAATATGGCAAAATTGAATTGTTCCTTTAAGTATAACTGGCTGAAATACTTCCTTATATTAGGAAATTATATTTTTTGTATTGTATTTTAAAGTATTGTATTTTTGTATTGTATTGAAGTTAAAAGGGATAGGCAAAATGCAGTTATCAATGTAGCATTCACTTTTTACTTGTTAAGTTATGAGTCCCTTATAATAGGGAGTGAGTTTATGGGAGGAGTGAGGGAGGGATTACCTTTATAACTACACGTTAAGTAGTTATTTACACTAAGAGACACTTATAATAATTAATGATCATCCTTGTCCCAAACTATTTGAGATTGGCACAACTCCTTTTGTATCATTCTTCACACAATCTATCCATCTTTTCTAGTAAATTATGGTTTGAGTCTTAAGGGCGCCTATTGCCATACATCAGACGTGTCTCAAAAATTTAATATTACTTTTGTCAACCCAGTGATCAAAGTAGACTTTCGGCATTTGACCTTGGGCCCAATGAAGCAGACACGAAATATTTGACCTTTCTTATATAATGTAATATAATATTATACTATATTTTGGCGACCCTACTCAAATTAGTCGGCGAGTATTACAATTTATTCGCGAAGGTTATTTTTATAGGCGACGAAACGGTCCCTGGATTTTTTCACCTTATTTCGTTGGATCGTTGCCGTAGCTGTATGTAATGAGAATTTTGGACGATCCGTTTTATTTTGTTTCGAGTTTGTCTTTCGAGATATTTTTACTTTTATATTATCGTTGGGAATCCATATGAGTACTTATGATGATATGTCTGTGTATAAAACAGACTTTTGTTACGGCATATTCCTCAAATAAGATAACGAAAGAGTAATAGATGTCCTTATTTCCATTATTAAAGGGAGTTTGTGATGTGGTGACATTTGACAAAATCATGTCTTCTGTCTCAGAAAAACTTGGGAATAATGTAGATCAGCTAAGTTTTTTTTTATAGCATAAGCCGGTAAATGAGCAGACGGATCACCTGATGGTAAGCAATCGGCGCCGCAAGTGCGTCACCGGCCTTTTGGGAATTGGGAATTTGAGGATTGTGGAGGATTCGGGGATTCGGGAAACAGGGACTAAGGAGGGGGGTAATTGGGCCTCCGGTAACCTCACTAACACGACGAAACACAAAGCAAGCGTTGTTTCACGTCAGTTTTCTGTGAGACCGTGGTATCACTCCGGTCAAGCCGGCCCATTCGTGCCGAAGCATGGCTCTCCCACACTCACACACACAAGTAATGGTAATACTATTACATAGGACTCATAACATAATAGTAAAAAGTGGGTGTTACATTGTACAGTGGCTTTAAGTACCGTAATGTGCACCTCTGACTTCTCCTTCGGGGATAAAATGTGCGATGTTATGTTATTTATAAATTAAACAATTTTTTGCCTTCAACAAAATTGAACAATTCTCTACTATAGTTTACCGGGTCAGCCAGTAATAAATAAAGCGTAAAATATTATCCCAGCCTGTTTAATATAACGTTCGCAAGTAAGAAACGTTAAGAGCCAATAAAGCAATATTTGAGGAGATGAAAAAAGAACAAAAAATGGTAAAAACTCAAGCAAACTTGGCACTAGGCCAGGGAATATAAAAAGAAATTGCAAGTAAACTGTCCTACTGAATCAAGAATCTAGATTGTTTGGGAAACTAGTATATTGTATAGTTGTAAATTAAAGAACCATTGTAACATTGGTCGAATGTTGTAAAAAATATTTCTGGATATAGTGATTGAGTGATTGAGAGATAACGTTATGTCAAATGTCATGGTGGTCCAGAGGTGTAAGATGCCTGCTTCTCATGCATGAGGGCACGGTGCGGTTTCAAGACGTACCAACGACAAAGTACCGATGTGACTTTTTCCGAGTTATATGATTTTTTTTATAGCATAAGCCGGTAAACAAGCAGGCGGATCATCTAATGGTAAGTAATCGGCGTCGCCCATGGACACTCGAAACACCAAGGCGTTACAAGTGCGTTACCGGCCTTTTGAGAATGGAAATTTGAGGATTGTTAAGGATTCGGGGATTCGGGAGACGGGGACTGGGGAATGGGGTAATTGGGCCTACGGTAACCTCACTCATACGACGAAACACAACGCAAGCGTTGTTTCACGTCGGTTTTCTGTGAGGCCGTGGTACTCTCAGTGGTACACTCCGGTCGACCCGGCCCATTCATGCTGAAGCATGGCTCTCCCACACTTATGTATGTACTTTCTAAGGTTATTTAGACACCAATTAAGAGTCTAATACTCCCTCTCACATCACTCTAGGTGAGAGAAGAATTTTAAATGATTTTTCTCTGAACAAAAAAAACTAAAATACTATTATATCTGATTTACGAATTCTCGTTTGAACTATCGAGTCTACGCATAGTTGTATGTAGTCCAGAATAACAAGCCTCATGTTATGTATGTCCAACATATGTATGTTTGTTTACAACAGACCGGGGACAACTTTTCTAGGTCACTGATATTGTGTTTGTTACTACGAAGTAGGTACTTCACTTCAAACACGTCCAACTTCTTGATTGTTTTAACTTAGAATCATTATATGGTGCTATGTTATTCCATGAACTGATGGGTATTTATATATGATGGTAGACCTTAGTCTTCTGTTAAACATAGATGATAATGCTAAGAAGGATATTATTATAACTGCTCATGAGGAAGAACCCCTCTGTGATTCGAAACTAGTAAAGCTTTTCTCAGCATATTTACGTAAGTAACCCACGATTTTAGTTAATCTAGTATGTCTCACGATAGTTATTATAAACACAAGGATATTATTACGCGACTTCAAGAATAGGGTATGGCAGAGGATCTCTGATAGTAGTGCCAGAAATAGAGAATTGGAAAGGTAATCTTATGTCTTGGTATGGACATGCAATGAAAACTGTCAAACTGTAGCTCGAGATAAATGGCAAAACGCCACAGCTTTGTTGTAGATATTTTACTCACTCTTACAAAGAATTTCGCCTCAAGATTGTTTAAGAGAATCACATATGAGTAATTCCTTGCCCGAGTCCTCTCTAGTCCTGCTTATTTTCAATTTCCGAGTAGATAATTAACTTAAAGGCGAGTTACTCTATCGTTATTCACATCGTCGCTGATCACTAAACGAGATAGTTTTTTATATATATTTGATGAGCCGATGGTTGACCACTATCTCGCCTGGTGGTAAGCGATGATGCGGTCTACGATGGAGCACGTCGGCCCATAAGCAACCTATTCACTCGGGCCTTGAAAACATCCAGGAATATACCTCTATTATCGATATATAAAAGAAAGTCGTGTTAGTTACACCACTTATAACTCAAGAATGGCAGAATAGATTTGGCTGAAAATTGGTAGAGCCAGGAGACCGACATAGGATACTTTTTAAACAACATTTTTTTTTTACTTTTTACCGAAAATCACGAACGGGGACGGGAAAAAATGAGATTACGCGTACGAAGTCGCGGGCGGAAGCTAGTTATATTATATACCCTTCAGGAAGTACAACCTCTGGCAAAGAATTCCACTCCTTAGCAGTACGCACAAGGAAGCTTGATCCGAAGCGCTTCGTGCGTGTGGGTGGGACATCTACCACGAATCGGTAATGTCAACAAATGTTTGACGTTACTTATTATAAAAATACATGAAAAATACTCACCATTAAAAATATGGACGTATATACTAGCAGGAACAGCGTTGTTTGGCACACAGGTGTAGTTCCCTGCATGCGACACGCTGGCTGCGGGTATCAGCAGATCTGATAGTCTCTGTACCGGGTCTGTGGTGACGTTGATACCTCGTTCCACGTCGTAGTTTATCATTCTGCTGTTGTGGTACCTGGGGAGAAGAGAGAAGATAGTTTTCATTCACACGTTTACCGCCACGTAGGTCACCGGTGACCGGTGTTTTGCGGAGCATTTGCACTCAATAGTTTTCGCCTTCAACAGTTTTTTGATGGCAGTCAAAGATTGAAAATACCTCATGATAAAGTGCGGTTGATATATGGACTTCTTCACATAATAATGATTTATGTACAGACGTATACAATTCAGGTTTATTTAAATGCACCGCTAGATAGTCTCATATAAATGTGTAATACTTCAGTCACTTTATAACACACCCACGGGAAGTTTGGAGACAACATTTCTACTTTGCTGTTACAATAAGGCTTAAATACACATATATCTTCTGTTTGTAGCATTAATTGTAAAACGAATCTAGATGTGTATAAGTGCATAATTATCTTATTACCACATTGTCTTAATAAGACATATAATGGTGGTCAAAGTCAAAGTCAAAATCATTTATTTCAATTAGACCAGGAAGGCACTTTTGAACGTCAACAGCAAAAAAATTTTGAAGTGAAGCTAGTTGCTCATTCCAAGGTGTAAATTCCTATGGAAAAGAACGAGAAAAATACTCCATAGGTTACTCATTTTCAATCAGGTTCACAATACAATTCTCTTGTTACATACGAGTACTTTTATTGGGTCAATTGTGTGAGAACAATGCAACACCTAAATGTAGTCAAAGAGATAGCCGGGTAAGTAATAAGCTTACCATTACACAGTTGAATATTGCTTAAGAATAAATCAATTGAATATTTTTTTTCATACTCCAGTATCGAAAAAAGACATCCAATCAACTAACGATACACTTCAATTATTACAAGATACAATTTACCCCCAGTAAACAATAGAATAGATCCAAAATAATAGCTACTACATTTCCTCTACCTCAAACAAGAAAAGGCAGAACGCAAAAAAAAATCACAAAGTAGGTACTTTGTTCCACAAATTGTCATAACACGCGTGGAAAAACATACCTTTAGCAACCATCATTTTCTTTGAATGCTTTTCACAAGACAATAAGGAAAACATAAACCAGTTATTTAACGAAAACAATACTCCGGGAGCCATTCTATAAGCTTTTTAATTAATAAAAGCCGAAAATCAAAATGGCTCCTTTGAAATCGAGCTGACAACAGACTCGACAAACAATGCTAAACAAAAACAAAAGTTGTCGATTGAACCAAAACATTTTATAAGGGAAGTAAACAACTCGCAACAAATAGCTAATCCATCTTAGTTTGTTGATTTTATTAAAAAATAAACGTATTGACAACTGCTATGATTGTTATTGAAAAACTGCCTCGGCTAATAAACATTGTTTTTGTATTAATTCGACTTGTTTTTCTTTCAAGGTTAAAGTGAAGGTCTTCTTTGCTGAATCAATAACATGGTGATAAAGGTGTTTTGAAGAGATTGATTAAATCATGGCTTTAGCGTCTCTCATCAGTGGGTACATTCATTTATTTTTTGATATATTCTTAGTCCCATCACGTACTAAAGGATACTATCTAAATATAAACATGGATTGGACAACAATACAATTAAAACCTCCGTGAGCAGTGGCGTGCACACCATACATGCAAATAAGCACTGCATACCCTACAAAATCATGGTAAACCTACATAGTCAATTACATAGTGTCACTCATATACACGACATGAATATTTACTGATATCATACAGAGATTTCGTAATTTTATTGATACTTAATTCGGAAAACATGTAACTAACGCCATCTATTGAAAAAATATTGAAGTACTACAACCACTTTCTACTTTCTTCGATATTGGAGCATTGCGCCAGTGGCGCCGCCACCTCGCTATTGTGTGATGGTGGCGGAAGCATGTACTAATGCTAGCCGGTACAATTTGCTTGTTTTCTCGTGCTGATGTTGGATTTTTTTTTTGTTAGGTTGGTAATTTCTATACAACTGCAAAAGCACTGCTTCTTCGTTATCCGACTAATTTAAGAAGTCAACAAAACGTAGCGTTTGTTGATTGAAAATAGATATATTAATTTTGGTCAACTTATTGTTTACGTTTTTTTGGCCATTTTGTTTTGGTTATGTTTTTATGTGCAAGTGAATAAATTGTAATGTAATGAATTATAATTTAAATGAACTGTTAATTTACCGAAAATTATGTAAAATTATAGCTGTGAACTCTGTGCTGGTGATTTGTCGTGTTCAATAAATTCAATATGAGTGCGTTGTCGTTATTCTCGTTTGAAGAAGAAACGAAAATATTTCCAAAGGCGATTTTACGTGTGTCGTATGTCCGGGCTAGGCGTAACTCAAAAAAAGGTAATAATTTCATTATTTCTTTTAATAAACTACGATTTGCGATTATAGGTATAGTTTGTTAGCACTGGTTGTGTACCTATGCATTTAACGGTCTGTTACTGGTGTCGCATAGCTTGATGTGTAGCCATTTGTACTTCGCCGCTCCAAAGTAGGTACCTAGTTAATAGATTTATAAAATAGATACCGATAGATCTATGTTGATCAACTTTATACACGGATAGTTTTAAAATAATTATGTACCTAATTTGTCTATACAAATTAATAAAATACTTACTAAACCTAATTACCTACTCAAAACTATGATGTTTCGGGAGTTTTATTTTCCGAGATTAATGTACCTAGACCAAATTTATTTTTAATCATGTGATACCTTCTGCCTACCCTACTTCAAATCTCTGTGCACGCCCCTGTCCGTGAGTAAATGAGAATTTTAAAATTTAAACTATCCAAAAAGGTTTTCAGTCACACACCGTTTCAGATGTCTATTTTAATTAAGCATATGAATAGTGAAATCGATAGAAAATACGAAGAATATTCAAGTCCATTTTGTGTTTTCTGTATGTGATAGAAACATTGATTAAACAAAATAAAACCCAACGTTCCTGCCAGCAAAAACTAAACCTTACTAACAACAGACGCTAAAGAAGCACATAAATCCTGAATCATTACCAGTCCAAGACAAAATGTGCCTACCAGCCAATTGGACCATTTATGTAGATATGTAAGGAACTGTTAGCGTCAAGCCTAACAGTTGCCAAGTCGTACTGCCAAATCTTATTTGCTGAACAAATTAAATTGATGGAGACGTCTTCGTTTGAGCTTGGATCCCGTTAGCGTTAAAAGAAATTCTTGTATTTTTGTTGGCTGTTTTGACTGTATGAATCTGTTTGAATTATTTGAGGGTAAAATATAAATGTCCAAAATTAACGTTCAATTTTGTCGCAGTTGTGGTACAAATGTCTGAACAAATTGGAAGCTAGACCCAAGACTGGCTACTCAGAGTCTATAATACGACTAGCTACTTGCGCGCGGTTTCACACGCTCTGCTCAGCTCCTATTGGTTGTAGCATATTGTTTTATAGCCCATAGCCATCCTCCATAAATGCGCTATCTAACACAAAAAGAATTATTCAAATCAGACTTGTAGTTACGGAGATTAGCGCGTTCAAACAAAAAAACAAACTTTTACGCTTTATATAATAGTATAAGATAAGATAAAAAACTTCCTAAATCAAGAATACTTATTTATCCTTCACAAAATTAAAACTTTTACCCAAAACTTGGTTTTGATTTAGGCCTGTATCAGTTTTGTAAATCTGTATCTGATTCACATTCTGTGCTATGTTTTTACACACAATTGCATTAATTAATACATATAGAGAATAGATGCATTTGAGATGTGGTATTTGCGACGAATGCTGCGCATACCATGGACAGCCAAGCGAACTAATGTCACAATATTATCGCAACTTAAAGTCACAGACTACCTATCCAATTTGTGCCTTCGCCGGATCATAACCTATTTTTTACATATAACAGGACGCGGAGAGAAGGTCATTGTCGTGGGAAATGTTAAAGGGAGAGGGGCAAGAGAATAATCCCCAACTAGATGGTCTGACCAGCTCAAGGACAACCCAGCATCGAGTATACACTACAATGCGAATGACAAGAGCCAATGGAGACATTTTGTCCTATCGAGAGTGATGCCAGGATGATGACGATCCTCAGTCATGAGAGAACAACTAGACAGAGGTACGTAAATTTAGAAACCACAAAATACCCTTGGATGTTTAAATTACTAGACAGGCGGTCAATAGTCCAAACAATTTAATAGTCCTAAATAAGATTATTCAATACTTTTAATGGCTTGTAAAGGGCAGTTAATAGTTACTTTATGACTGAGAGTAGACTGCCTAACGAGGCAGTCTACTCTACACTTGCGACCACTCAGTCAACGGACCGAGTGGTCACAAGTGTGATTGTCGGACAAGGGGTCTCGGGTTCGATTCTCGGATCGGGCAAAGAATTGCTGGGTTTTTAAAAAAATCTCAGTAGTAGCACGGAGTCTGGAAATTTGCCCGGTATATGGCAATAGGCTCGTAACTGGGACATGGGACTCGTAACATAAATAGTGAAAAGTGGGTGTTACATTGTACAGTGGCATAATGTGCACCTCTGCCTACCCCTTCGGGGATAAAATGCGTGATGTTATGTTATGTTTAAATGTCGAACCGAGCCGAAGTGGTACATAACTTTAACTAAAAACAACATCAAGAAAAATAAACGAGAATAAACAAATACACAAGAACATCACTCCCAAAGATGTGTGTCAGAAAGGTTGCAGCTTGACACATTTTTAAAAACTGGACCATTTTTAAAAGAGCAAGTTTTTAAAAGCAATTGGACGGAGTAGTAGGTCGCTGGAAACTGGCCAAAATTCAACCACGATTTGATTTACTAGAGTTTGAAACAAAATTGTTCATTTAAAAGTCTATCTTTTAGATATCTTATTTTATTAATATTTGAGTCTGCATATTTGTAGTGACATTCACGGAAACAGCTATAGCAATTTAGATAAAAGCGATAAAGTGTTTTTTTGAAGCTACTGGCTGATACAAAACGGATCAATATATACGTTATATTTTTCTGAAAATAGATCTTATATTTCATCCAATGTTTCATAATATGCCTCTCGGGGTCTCGGGTCTCGGGTTCGATTCCCAGGACGGACAAAGCATTAGTGGGTTTTTAAAAAGAATCTCAGTAGTAGCACGGAGTCTGGTAATGTGCCCGGTATAAAGCAATAGGCTCACCCCCTATTACATGGTACTCATAACATAAATAGTGAAAAGTGGGTGTTACTTCTGTGTGCACCTCTGCCTTCCCCTTCGGGGATAAAAGGCGTGATGTTGTTTCATAATATGTGTATCACATATACACCCTTTCAGGAAAAAGGTGAGAATATATATCATGTACATAAACATAGAAACAAACCGCAAACGTAAGAGCAACTTAATCACAGATATACGTTGAGAAATTCAACAAAAAATATATATACGTAGGGAAAATATCCTCCAAACGGCTGTGCAAAAATCCCCCTTAAAGACTTAGGAATAGAATGCACATCTGTATAAACACTTACTCATACAGATGGTCGGCAATAAATCGTTGAAAGAGGTGAGTACTGGTTTCTGTTCTGGAGAAAGCGTACTTGTGGTGGGTACCTTTGTGGAGTTTTTTATGGAGCCTTTAGTGATCGGGCTAGAGAATTTTTATTGAAGCTTGGATACTCGGTTCCAGGGTTGAGTGAATGTTTTATGAATTAGAACAAGGCTGTGATAGAATTACAATTTCATATATTATGTATAAAGTCAACTTTTCTACAGTTATATTATTAGTGTTTTTGATAATAGTTTAGTTGTTATTACATTGATCAACCATTCTTAAAATTGAAAAATGCTTGCTCAACTTAGTCTACACAATTTTACGAAATCATTTAGTCTTATCGATGCTAATTTTTATTTGACTTTTTTTTAAGGGGGAAATTCATCGAATGATTTCTCCCGCCTGGGTGAGGCGGGAGGGAGTGTCAGACTCTTACTGATTAAAAAACACCCCATTCCGACTCCTGCACTTTGAGCCGAGTTGGTAACCCGTTGGGTTCTCTGCGGCTCCAAATTTTGATTTGACTGAAAATCATGCATCGACTGGACTAAATAATTATAACAAGAAACTGCTGATTCACCACCATCACATACCTAATTACTTGATAAACGTATCCAGTAATTATCTCGCACATAACGGCTATCCAGATAGCATGAAACTGGCCTATATTTAAACAGAAGATCAAAACTTAAACACCAATAATAAAAAAAAAAACTTCATTGCTTCAGTTCATATCAAGAAAAGAACGGAGTAAAAACAAAAAAAGAACACAGAAGTCGTCATCGATTCAAATGCCCCACGACAGGCAGTCAGCAAATTTTTTTGATGAGACCTCCAATTGAATTTGCACCCAATTCTCAACCAATCACGGTATAAAATCTATTTTATGTAGTTCCGTCGGCTGGCTTTTTGTTCTGCCATTTTATTAAACATGTTTATTTCAATAGAAATGGAAATGTAATAATGTGAAATGATTTCTATTCGAACGACTTATTGTTTATTTTTGTTTGACTTCAGCGAAGTAATAATTGATCAGTTTGTTTTGGTCTTTTTTATTAAAGAAGTCGGTCGCAAGAAGTGTGTGTTGATGTGGAGTACATTTTTATTAGTTTATTGTTTATTTAGTTTCATACTGTTAGCTTTATTGCGTATTAGCTGTTGCTTGAGATTTCGTCCGCATCGAATATGAATTTTAGAACATAACTTTTTTTTTTTCAAAATAAATGTAGCTCCTTAGTACATCAGCTACCTACCAATAAAAGTTTTGCAAAATCGGCCCAGCCATTCCAAAGATAAGCCAGTACAAACAGAGAGACAAAAATTGAAAATAATGTTTTTTCGGTATGTGCATCGTCTGTATCTGTATATTCATATGCATGTAGTAAAAAGCGTTTTATACATATCAAAAACAGACACTCCAATTTTATTTACCTTTATAGATAACTGTATATATATCTGGCTTTTTTGTGAGACCTCTATTAGAGTTGTTATAATACCGTGACTCTATCAAAGGTTAGGTGTTCTTAACACACTAAACGTCATGGGAGTCATCGGTGACCGACGTTAGCGGAGGAATTGCCTTCAATAGTTTTCTATTGGCAGTCAAAACCTTACTTATTTTTTCATATATCGAAGACTAAGACGGGTCGCTAACCCGTCTCAGCTTCGCATGGGTGCAATATGCATGTATTATGCATATAAACCTTACTTAAGGATCACTCTGTCAAATATGTATCAAAATCCTTTGCGTAGTTTTAAAGATCTAAGCATACATAGGGACAGACAGATGGCGGATAGCGACTTTGTTTTATACTATGTAGTAAAGATTCTAAAAGGTAACATTTTATTTCTTGACGACGTTTTACGAAGTAATTAAGGATTAATAAAATTGAGAAAAAATTGTTCTTTAAGATTATAAAAAAAAATATTTTCTTCTATTCGTTCGTTTAACTAGTTAAAGTACACAAACAACCTTCAAGAAAATTTTCCATAATTATAGTTCAAAATATTCTCATACGATTAAAACCATGATCAGACTGTGGTTTGACCTAAATACTCGGCGAAGAAACCTCAACACTCCGACCGAATCTTCGAACGTTGGCAACAGCATCCTAAGTATGTTAAATTGTAGTATATATATCAAACATTCAGCCTTGTAAAGACTGCGTATAATACAGGGTGTAAATGGTGATCCTGTCCGTCCAGGCGTTCTATCATCGCATACCACCAGGCGAGGTAGAGGTAAACGTCAGCCCATCAAAAAATAAATAAAAGCGTGATTCTGTCAGTCCAGGCGTTCCGCTTACAGCCTGTATACATTTAATTATTAATCAACTAGCTTTTACACGCGGCTTCGCTCGCGTCACAAAAGGATAAAAAGTAGCCTATATCTATACCAATATTTTTGTTTTTCCTCGGGAATATCAAAAGTACCCTATTATTTAATCCGGATTTCTAACTTTACCACTGCAAAAATTCAAAGCAATCGGTTTAGTAGTTACGGCGTGAAAGCGGAACAAACAAACAAACAAACAAACAAACAAACTCACTTTCCGATTTATAATATTAGTAAGGATTTCAAAAAGAAAAAAGGAAGTTCTCAATTTGACATGTTTGTTTGTATGTACATTGTACGTATGTTTGTGCGTGATTATCTCGCAAATCTGAACCGATTTTGATGCGGTTTCCCGAAAAGTGTTTGTTACAATTAGGAGAAATGTTTATGAAAATTAACCGATTTTAAAAAAAGAATACCCTTCTTTTTTTAAAATCGGTTATTGTTGTTGATTTATGAAATAATTAATTTGTGACTACTCTTACTTGTGGGTGTCGTAAGGAAACCGACATTTAATAAACTTTGCGTAGCAGTTTTTCTATAAAAAGATAACAATTACCTATGACAGTTAGGAAACAGCATCCGTCTGTAATTTAGGCAGGATACATATTTTTATGGGATAAACGCGTAAATGAGACGGATCACCTGATGGTAAGCAATCGTCACCGCCCATGGACACCAAAACCACCAGATGGGTTACAAGTGTAATACCGGCCTATGGGAGTTAGAGATTTAAGGATTGTTGGGGATTCCGGTATTTGCGAAGGAGGTGATTGGGCCCCCGATAGCCTCACACACGACTCACACAACGAAACACAGCGCCAGTATTGTCTTACGTCGGTTTTCTGTGAGGCCGTGGCATTTCTTCGATCAAGCCGAAGCATGGCTCCCTAAACGTAACAGTTTATGATAACTTAAATTATTAAAAAAAATATTCACCAGAACACAAAAGCAGGCGCTTCTGTAGTTTGTACCACGGAGCACTGAAGTCGTAACGTCGATCCAGGCTTCAGATACTTTTCCGTAGGCCCGGAGATCTGTGCTCGCGCCTCTGTGGACAAAGAAAACATAAAATTAGTAAATATTTTTTCGCAATGACTCCTCTATGCAAGGGAAAAAAATATTAACCTAGGTTCTGTTGTTATGATTTTGAACACCTATGACAGTTTAAAATAAATATACGAATATTGTTGAAGAAGAGTTATAGAACAATTTAAAGGAAAGAGAAAATTAGATATTTGTACTCCGTATATATCGCCGCCAGCCAGAGTTGCACATTTCGGCACTTAATGCCACTGTACAATGTAACACCCAATTTTCACAATTTATGTTATGAGCACCATGTAATAGGGGGTGAGCCTATTGCCATCTACTGTGCACAATTCCAGACTCCGTGCTACTACTGAGATTTTTTTAAAAACCCCAGTAATACTTTCCAGGAATCGAGCCCGAGATCCCTTGCCCGGCAGTCGCAAATGCGACCACTCGGCAAACGATGCAGTCTCATTCAATAACAACGTATCTACGATCAGAAGGTACTGATTCATACCTTTCATATCAAGTTTATTTTAGTTAGAATCGCTATAAACTCATACGGGGTCTAAAGAAAAATGTAATAGTATTGTTCTTCTATTATCGCCAAAAATTGGCTTCATCTCGCTTAGTATTGAAAACCTGTCAATATAAGATTAGCATTTAGTTTTTATAATAAACTGCAGATGAAAACTGCTAAGAATTGGAATTCTTTGCCAGAGTCTGTATTTCCTGAAGGGTATCACCTGGGTGTCTTCAAGTACCGAGTGAATAGGTCGCTTATGGGACGACGTGCTCCATCGTAGACCGCATCATCGCTTACCACCAGGCGAGATAGTGGCCAAACGTCGGCCCATCAAATATAAAAAAGGTGAAAGTAATAAATGATTGATAAATTTTATTTCAAACTATGAGACTTTATAAAAACGCAGACAGAGTAATCTGAGTGTCTCAAATAACGATCAATCCTAAAATAACACAACCTATGACATTAACTGACATTACTGAATTAATTGTGTTTTCATTCCATCTCTTGGCTATTGTTTTAGTATGTTATGATAACTGTTATATGTTGTGTGAAGGTCGAGTTGATAAAATATCTATATCTATACATATAATAAAATCGTAGAAAAGTCAAAACTGTACATTGAATATTTTTTTAAAGGATACTTGAGGCGTGATGTACAATCGATACTAAAGCCAAAAATAACGTTCTTAGAATTTTTGTCTGTATGTATATCCGGGATAATCTCCAAAAGTACTGCATGGATTTACTTCAAATTTTGCATGAATATTACTAACAGGTCGGGTCAACATATAGGTTACATATTATCACGCTATCATCTACGGGGGAGGAGCTGTGAATTACAATTCCACGCGAACGAAGTCGCAGGCAACAGCTTATTTCACATAAAATTACATGGTGATTTATTAAAGTAACTTGCGTTACTTGTTCGTTCTTCATAGCATAATGAAGAAAATTCACGTTTTTACAAATATGTGTATCTATGAAGCCGTCAATGTGACGAATTGATTTGTATAATTAGTTTTGTCGTACCATTAGATCTGGCCGAATTATGTAATATGTCGAAAGTTTTAATGACTTTCATTTTTCAAACAAAATTAACGTTGTACTGTGACGTCATAGAACAACGTTTTTTTTAATATAGAGTAAGATAGTAGGTAGGTAGTCATCATCATCATCAACAGGCTATAAATGCCCACTGCTGAGCAAAGCCTCTTCTCACACGGAGAAGGTTTGAGCATTAATCGCCACACTTGCTCAATGCGGGTTGGCGATTACAAACTTATAATTAGAAATTATAAACCCAGGTTTCCTAACGATGTTTTCCTTCAGCGTTTGTCAGTGGTGTTTAGATAATCTTAGAAAGTACATATAAGTCGGAAAAAGTTACATTGGTACTTGCCGTTGGTAGGTTTCGAACCCGCATCCTCATGCATGAAAAGAGGGCGTCTTAAACCTCCGGGCCACCACGACCTTTTAGGTAGGTAGTAGTCATTATTAATTAAGCTATTTGATCATACAAATGAGTTACAATTAATTTACGTCACAGTAATATTTTCCATGGTTAGCTATTTTACTGAATTTTCCTAAAATTGATTCCATGTTATGAGGTCTTGGTCGATTGCTTACGCGTTTGACTACCGACAGAAAAGTAAGTTCTTGGTTTCTGTTGAGGTCCTTTGCACAAAAAGATACCAATCCCTTTAGGTTTTTTTTTTATGGAATAGGCCGATCAGCGCCGCCCATGGACACTCGCAACACCAGAGGAGTCACAGGTGCATTGCCAGCCTTTTAAAAAGGAGTACGCTCTTTTCTTGACAAACATAAGGTTTTAACAAACTGAGCATTTTTTAAACATTTTTTTTCGACAACTCCTATAACTATGCTGTTCCCAATCCACTGAATTTGTACGTTCAGCTATAGTAAGCTTTACTGCGCTGGTTCACACAACAGTAAACTGTTATGACAGTCGATAACTAAGCCTGCATAGTCGATGGTTTCGACATCGCATCTTAAATCTCTTGTGGTCGCTTGAATGTACGATATATCGGTGTTTCGGTGAATCGGGCGAGTTCATTCGAGTAGTCTAGTATATTCTGGTACTGTACTCGGGTACTGTGTTTTACTGTTGTTGTTACAATAGGTTTTATATGGTGTCAGGTTTACTGTCAGGCGAGATAGTGGCCAAACCTATTACAAAAAAGCTTATAATTAAATCCAACTTTTTTATGGCATAAGCCGGTAAACGAGCAGACGGATCACCTGATGGAAAGCAATCGGTGTCGCCCATGGACACCTGGAACACCAGAGGTGTTACAAGTGCGATACCGGCCTTTTGGGGATTAGGAGTTAGAGGATCGTTGGGGATTCAGGGATTGGAGATTAGGGAAGGGGAGGGTAATTGGGCGTCCGGTAACCTCACTCACACGACGAAACACAACGCAAACGTTGCTTCACGTCGGTTTTCTGTGAGGCCGTGGTATCACTTTGGTCGAGCCGGCCCATTCGTGCCGAAGCATGGCTCTCCCACACTTAATTTTTAAGTATGATGAAAAAAACTTATCAACTGTTGCTATGAAGTCAGATAAAAATGGTTCTAACAACGGTTTTTCTAAATCGGAATTCCGTAATTGAAAACCTCTTGATTGACCGCATGAATAAAGTATTATTAGAATTTTCATATAAAATTCCAATGTAGATAACCAAGGATTTGTTAAAAATACAATTACTGACTCGATGGTGAACGAATAATATTTATATGCATTTTTGTAATAGAATTACTATGAATGTATAATAATTTGCACAACCGGTGGCCCGGAGGTTTCAGGCCGCTTCTCATGCGTGAATGTGCGGGTTAGAAACCTACCAATGTGACTTTTTCGGAGTTATATGTACTTTACTTTCGAAGATTATTTAGACACCACTGACAAACGATGAATTAAAATATCGTGAAGAAACCTGGGCTTATAATTTCTAGTCATAAGTTTGAAATTGCCAACCCGCATTGAGGAAGCGTGGTGATTAATGCTCAAACCTTCTCCGTGTGAAAAGACGCGTTCGGTCAGCAGTGACCACTTGTAGCCTGTTGATGTGTATATGTTTAGTTGAAAAATTATTATGAAAGCACTAAAATAAAGTACCTGGAACTCCTAAGGAATCGTGGTTAAAGGTATTTTATATTGCAATTCTAATATGAAGTTCTCCTAAGGAATCGTGGTTAAAGGTATTTTATATTGCAGTTCTTATACGCAACATGAAGTAAAATCTTACTGCGTTGACAATTCCAGCGAGTGCCCCAAAACAGGGTCAATAAGGAGATTTATATAAAATATGTTTCGCAAAATGTTGGCCCTACAATTTCTAGAGTAATTCGTTTGCGTTACTATAGACATTACTTTCGCATGACATCACTGGGTCCGACGCGAAATTTCATTCCTTTGCGCGACTCGCTATGGATATATTAGTCCGTCAGGTCTATAATAAGCCAACATTTTTGCACACGACAGAAAGAATTTAAAATATTTCGTTGGAAAGACGAATATATTATTATATTTTAAAAATATTACACGTGTTAAAAATTAAAGGCAAGGAATTTCTTGTCGGAATTAAAATTATGATGGGATGTTGCCTTTTCCGCTAGTAACTGGCAATGGAATAATAAATTAATCGTAGCGAGCTGATAAAGTGCTTTTTCCGTAACGAAATTGCTGAATTTTCTTGTTTGATACATGTTGTATTTAATTTATTTAAAACGTAATTATATTAAAAGCGAATTGTGTACTACAAAGTGACAGATTATCTTGAAGATAAGAAAGCTCGGGCCTCCGATAACCTCGCTTACCTACACGACGAAACACAACGCGAGAGTTGTGTCATGTCGGTTTTCTATGAGGCCGTGGTATCATTGCGGTGGAGCCGGCCCATTCATGGCTCTCCCACACTTACACGTATCCACAGACAGTTGTTGTTGCCAGACATGTCGACATCCCGCACCGTCGCGCTACTCCACCTAACGTCGCCGGCGACACGTGTCATAGGACATTTGTCCCACATTATAACACTTGACTTTAAGAAACTAAATCGTTTTTTAAAGCCAATCTTATCTTTAGGATGGCTCAGCCAAATACCAGCTGGAAGACCTTGAATCCATCGAGAGGCTCATCAATGACGATTCGCTTGTGGAGGATCGGCTTTTGAAGCCTCGAACACAGGCGTAAAGTCGCAAACCTTTTCGTCATCTATCGGATACATTTCGGTGAGTGTGCTTGGGAATTGCACCACCTTATTCCCCTAAATCTGTTTCACCACCGTACTACCAGACGAACGGCAGGGCGCCACCCTTTTATGGTGGATATTTCACCCATTCGCACGAAGCGTTTTGCGTCAAGCTTCCTTATGCAAACCGCAAAGGAATGGAATTCCTTGCCGGAATCTGTGTTTCCCGTCAAATATGACTTTTTGACAGGTTGCTCATAGGTAGGCGTACTCCATCG